TTTAGTTAAGCAATTATTTACCCATCACGATAGAGGCAAATGTGAATTCAGTTAACGACCTTCTTCAACCACACCCGTCCCTGCTCTGGGCAAACTGGTTTAAGTGCCTCTTCTGTAGCTGAAAGCAGGCTCTGGGGCGTCTACCATCACTCAGTATGAAGCTGGAGGTCCAACTTGACCCAGAGGTGCATCACAAGAAAGCCCTGGCTGTCCGCTTGTGAACAATCAGCCGCCGAAATCCCTGGGGAGCACCGTTCTCCTCTGAAACACACAGGGCCTCCCTGAATCTCAATGGCTTCCTGCTGGGGGTCCCCGGGGGGTGGAAACTGTGCATTGCTCAGCTGGTTACTGAAACGTAGGAGGGTCCCGTCCACCCCCAGGCACCTTGGAATAGAGGCCTGGCAACCCCCTTCTGAGACGTCAGCCATGGCAACGCCTGCAAATGCAGTTCTAGTCTGACCCACGAGGGGGCGCCAGGGATTGGAGTGCAGTCAACATCACTTCAGTGCCACTAAGTCACAATGAGATCAGACTATGACAGCTCCTCTGTGAAAACTGAAATAGGTGAGCGTTTTCAACCATGAAAAGAAAATGAAATACCTTTAGACTCTAGTCCAAATACACCTACCACCCTTGTCTGTCACTAGACTCCAGGTCTCCCTGTTGAGAGCTGTCATTTTCATTGTCATGATTTTCCTGCTGGACGGAAACTCCCCTCCCCTTCTTGCTCTGCCGAGGGACCCAGGGACCCAGAAGAAAAACTGTGCTGGCCACAGTGATGTCCCTCACCCTCCTACTTGGACTAGATTGCTGAGTCCCCTGAAACTCAACGTACCACAAACTACCTTTCATGCTTCTCCATGTCCCGGCGTCATATTAACTTTACGGTACCCAAGTTTTACCTCCTTTTAGAAGACTCAACATGCAGATGGAATGCCTACTGATGTCATCTTAGTCCCTGCGGGGTGCAAACAGTTAACGTGTTCGGCTGCTAGCCAAAAGCTTGAAGGTTCGAGTCCACCCCCTGTGGGGTTGCCATGAGCCAAGCAGGACTTACTCCAACACGTCTCCAAGTTCCCAGGCTCATCGGGGTGCCTGGTACACAGTGTCCAAACCACTTAGCAAATAAATAGATTAATGGATGTGTCTCCCCCAGGCACGCAGTTACCAGTGGTCTTTGCTTTTGGTGGCCGACGCTCTTCACTGGCCATGGCCCTGTGTTCTGGACATGCAAACAGTCCTGGCGTTGAGCAAACATTTGCATGCATTTCCTATGCTCTGCCTCTCCAGAGAAGCCCAGAATGACAGCTTGGCATATCCGAGAAAAGCGGTGCTTGCGCCCTCAGCTGTCCCTGTGCTGCAGAAATTTCCTGGAAGGATTTTCCGAGGCCCCTTGATCCTCAAACTGTCTTGGCTCTCTCCCCAGAGGTGCTTAATTGTGGAACTGTCACCGCATGAGGCAGGGGCAGCCCCTGCTTTCCAGTCTGTTAAACACATCACCGGACTCACTACCGCTGACCCAGTTCTATTATCTTAAGGAAAAAAAAAAAAAAAAATTCCAGAAAATAGAATAATTGCCATGAGGTGGAGAGAAGGAGTTTCCAAGCACTCTGCTTCAAATCCAAATGCACCCAGCATTCTTTCGTTAAGAATTCGTTGTCATCACAGTCAAGGTAATTGGAAAATATTATTTTATTATCCAACGGACAGCATATTGACTTTAAAAATACAGTAAAGCAGACGTGGAAATAGCACATCTTGCAGACCAAGAGCACAGAGTGATAAACGGTGCCGGGGAGGTTGAGAAGGCCGAGCTGTCGTCCACCGGATGACCGCTTGGACACTTAAAATCCCCCCAGAGGGGGCCGGATTCCTGCAGGGTCCCGGCTTAGCTCCGCCAGCTCCCCTCCCTCCCTCCCCCTACCACAGCCCCCCAGATAAACTGGGCCCAAGGAACCCAGTACCCAGCCTCTCCCGCTGCTGGGAAAGAGAGGAAATATTGGTGCCTGAACCGGAAGGGGCGGGAGGGAGTCTAAGAAGGCAAGCTTGCTCACCTACCTGCTCTAATGTACCCAAGTCTTGTAAAGACCAATAATTTATTATGCTTAATGAGACAAAGAGTATGCCATTCTCTTTCCAGTCTCATAGTCTGATTAGAAAGAAAAATAAAAACAATATACAAAATCCTATATGAAAAAGTGAACTCCTGGGAGAAAGGGTTCTTTCATACACAGGGAGACCTGTGGGAGCTGGAACTTCATGGGATGGGCTGCATTTTTGGTGGGTCTCCCAAGTTTTCCACCTTTGACTTGGTGCAGTTGGACCACTTGGCTGTCGCGGTCTGGTAGCAGAAAATATTTGTGTTTTTCTCCTCTGACATGTTCCCCTTACAGTTTGTGGCTTTAACAGGTTTTACTATACGATGCAATTGTGCATTAAAAACCAACTGAGGCAAAGGCCACACCACTTGAAGAAGGTGGTGCATGTTACTGCTTGGACATGTGCAAATACTTGCACTGATGGAGGCTCTGTGGGATATGTTTTTACTGCAATTTGTTTAAAAGCACTGATCGCTGGGAGGGGAAAAGGGGTAGTTCTGACTTAGGAGGCACTGAGATTATTGTAATAATGGTGAAATAATTGGGGATGGGACTTGACTGATATCAATCCTATAGGACAGAGTAGAACTGGCCCCTAGAGTTTCCAAGGCTGTCATCTTTACAGAAGTCACTGTTCGCCCATGCAGCAGCTGGTCGGCTTGAACTGCGGACCTTTTGGTTTGCAGCCAAGCACGTAACCACTGAGCCACCAAAAAATATTCAAAACCACACCCACTGCCCTGGAGTCCATTCTGACCCACAGCGCCCCTAGAGGACCGAGTGGAACTGCACCACAGGGTCTCCAAGGCTGTCAGTCTTCACGGAAGCAAAGCCCAAACCACACCCACTGCCTGGAGTCCATTCTGACTCACAGCGCCCCTAGAGGACAGAGTGGAACTGCCCCACAGGGTCTCCAAGGCTGTCAATCTTTACAGAAGCAAAGCCCAAACCACACCCACTGCCTGGAGTCCATTCTGACTCACAGCGCCCCCAGAGGACAGAGTGGAACTGCACCACAGGGTTTCCAAGGCTGTCAATCTTTATAGAAGCCACATCTTTCTCCCATGGAGCAGCTAATGGGCTCAAACCCTTGCCCTTTTGATTTGCAGCCAAGCGCTTAACCACTGCACCACCAGGGCTCTGTAATTCATAAAAGGATATTGATAATGATTGCAGGAGAAGAAAAACATTATCAATGTCATTGAGTTATACAGTAAAACATATGAAAGTTGGAACCCGTGTAAGGCGGAAACTCGCCAGAGAAGGAAAATGCAAATATTTCCCACTGAAACAAGGGATTAAAAAAAGTGGGGACTGCACCCTGTCAAAGGTGGGAAACCTGCCAGACCCGGGGAATGGCAAAGCAGTCCCATCCTGTTTCAGCTGTCCCTGGTCTTGCTGCAAGTATAGAAATTGGTGGATTGGCAAAAGTCTTCTCCCCTATCATTCCCCACAATAAAAACTAAAACAAAACACGATTGCTCTGGTTCTAAAACCCGTCTTTGGTCAGCGGATGGTTGGAAAGGACAGAGGAAAGAGCTCAAGGGTCCAGACTGGTTCTAGGGTCCTGTCCCGTGTCAAGTTCACTAGGAGGTGTGTCTTGCATTTAACAGCAAGACACTTTTAGTCTCTGCAGGTCACGTTCAGTCAGTGTGCAGAGGACTGTTCGGTGAAGCAGGAATGGCAGTTTGAGCCTCGGGGGCCGTGGAATGCCAGATGAGAACACGTGACATCATATACCCATGAAAGGAAGTCCCCAAAGAGGCTGGCTTCTGGTACCTTGTCTGCGTTCCTTCCTTTTGGCCATGAATCAAAGCTGTAGCTCAACCTGAACTTGAAACCTATCCAGGGACCGCGAGGCACCGTGAAAATCCTTAGAGCCCTCTCATCCCCTTGACTTTGACAAATGACCGCCTGTCCTGCCTTCCCCAGCGTGGCTGCAGAGCCCACACATTTTAGCCAGGCCCTCAGAAGACGTGAATGTAAGTGGTCTTGGAGTCTCTGCCTAGCACGTTCTCGGCCGTGCACTTATAGAAACCTGCATCTCTCGGAGAGGCATACTGAATGGTCAAGGAGCCTTGCGGCTGCAGGAATTTGTTCCCGTAGACGCGGGCCTGTCCTCCGGCGGCCAGCTGGGCCTTGTCTGGCAGTTCCCACGTTATCCGGGCTTTGGGAATGCCCATGGCCAAGCAGTTTAGCTTGACGGTGCCCCCAGGACGGATGTAGATGACCGGGGTGGCCTCGCTGGTGATGCGTGGCGGATAGGCGATGACTATGACAGGGGTACTCACGGTGGAGGGACCCAGCTCAGTGTCCACCTTACACGTGTAGGTCCCCCTGTCAAACACCGAGGCCTCCCGTACCCTGAGTGTACCGTTCTGCAGGAGGGCGAAGCGCCCCACTTCCTGGGGGACCTCCAGGACCACACCGTTGGGGAGTGTCCAGGAGAATTGGCCCGGCCTGCCCGCTTGGAGGAGGCAGGGTAGGTACAACGTCTCTCCGTCGATGGTAGTCACCACCGGGCGGTGCTGACTGCCCACTGCAGGCTTGAGGCTCACCTTGAGGGCCACTAGCCTCTCGGAGTAGCCCGCGGCGTTCCTGGCCACGCAGCGGTAGGCCCCGGCGTCCCCAGAGGCCAGCCCGCTGATGTACAGCCTGCCGTCACTCTTGTGGTAGAATCGATGCAACCGTCTATTGCTGTGCAGCTCCGTCCCATTGGGAAGGACCCACAGCAGCGTGGGGGCCGGGGTCCCCGAGGCCGAGCAGTTCAGGCTGATGGTGTGGCCGGCCGTGGCGGTAATTTTCTCGCTCACTGGGTCGTGGAAGACAGGCTTCTCCACCGGGTCTAAGACTGTGAGCTGTACAATCAGCCTGGCCTCGCCACCTTCATTGCGAGCGATGCACGTGAACTGGACCGAATCACTGTGCCTCAGGCTGCGAATGTCAAGGGTGCCGTTGCGATGCACCGTGATCCGGTTCCCGTAGTACGGGGCGGGCAGGACCACCCCCTCGGGGAAAGCCCACAGAGCCCTTGGAGCCGGGATGCCCTCCGTCTGGCAATCGATGAGCTTCCGACTGCCCTCGGCCACGATCTCCCGCACTGTGGTGATGGCATCAGGGTGCCCGTTGATCTTGGGGGGCTGGACGTGGACTTGGACCCAGACCACCTTCCTGTCCTCCCTAGCACTGTTGCGCACCACGCAGGTGTAGTTGCCGCTGTCCGACCGCTGGGCCTTGCGAATGAGCAGGGTGCCATCATGGTAGACTTGGTACTTGTCCAAGGAGGCAGGGATCAGCCTGTTGGTGGGTGACAGCCAGGTCACGCTTGGCGTGGGCTCCCCTTTGGCCTCACACGTCACGGTGACCACATCACCATAGGGGACCTGGACAACGGAGTACGTCTTGTTGCGGATGGCCGCGGGCTCCGCCACCACCTTGACACGGACCCTCATTTCGTCCTTGCCTACCTGGTTCTCAGCAAAGCACATATAATCGCCTTCCTCGCCCATGCCCACCTCGTTGAAGTAGAGCGTGCCATTGTTGAACACCACATAGCGCTTGGCACGCCCGCCACTGTCGTCGGCCTGCATGTACGGGTTGACCAGACTCCCATCGGGGAGACTCCAAGAAATCTCGGGGTTGGGGAGCCCCGAGGCCACACAGTCCACCTTCAGGTCGCCCCCGTACAAGACTCTGTGGTCCTGCCCCTCCTTGTGCTCAATGGTGGCCGGTTTTATCACCACATTGACCTTCAGGAGCACGTAATCATCGCCAATCTTGTTCCGGGCAATGCACAGATAGTCCCCTGCGTCTTTGTCAGTGACGGACTTCACCACCAGCGTCCCGTTGGCAAACACCTTCATTCTGGGGTCAAAGCTAAAGGGGAACAAAAGGAAGGATACATGTAAGTCTCTCAAACGTGATCCCTGGATCCAGCTCACGGGGACGGGACTAAGACACATGGTGCTGAGAAATATTGGCGCACGTGACAGGCCACCACAAAAGTCAAAGCGTTTTGGCAGCTTGGAGGGAGTAGCATCCAAACGCTAAAATGATTTACTGCACAGAAGAACGCCTTGCTGGACTCTACCTTAGGGGCCCAAGCATTGATTTGAGGGTTTGAAATGCAGTGTGACATCAGCCCTGTAACACGAGTATTGTAGTCAAATATTTGGGGGTCATCGGCACAAACTGTCTGCAGCCAGCGGCTCCCCAAAAGGCCTGTGGTATGAGTCTACGGTGATTCCACGGAAGAAAGTCCTGGCTATCCAATTTCCAAAGATCACCCTTGAAAACCTCATGGAACACAGTTCTACTCTGACACACATTGGGTCCCCATAATTTGGAAACGGCTTGATGGCAATAAGGCTTTTTTTTTGTTTGTCTGTTTGTCTTTGCAGGAAGCAGGATTCACGGAGCTAGTTGTAATGATGGAAAAAGGAAAACAGTGCAGTCGTGAATCTGAAATAGCCTGCTAAGAAGCTTCAGTTCTTCTGCGTTAAAAAACGTTAGCTACTACTTTTACTTACCACAACTTTTTATGAGGTTTCATCTCATTAAAAGCCACTGCCCTGGAGTGGATTCTGACCCACAGCGCCCCTAGAGGACAGAGTGGAACTGCCCACAGGGTCTCCCAGGCTGTCAGTCTTCACAGAAGCAAAGCCCAAACCACACCCACTGCCTGGAGGGGATTCTGACCCACAGCGCCCCTAGAGGACAGAGTGGAACTGCACCACAGGGTCTCCAAGGCTGTCAATCTCCATAGAAACCGACTGCTTTCTTTCTCTCTTGGAGCAGCTGGTGGGTTTGAACCTCTGACCTTTTGCTTCACAGCCCAATGCCTCAACCACTGTGCCACCTGAGCTCCTTGCATCTCATTAGGAGGGAAAAAAGTGCCCAAATCAGTTGCCGTGGAGTCGGTTCCGAATCGTGGAAACCCCATCTGTGTCAGAATAGAACTGGCCTCCATAGGATTTTCAATGGTTGGTATTTTTTTGGAAGTAGATTGCCAGGTTTTTCTTCCAAGGTGCCTTTCAGTGAGGTCAAACTTCCAAGCTTTTGGTGAGCAGGTGAGGTTGTGAACCACTCGCATCATGCTCTCCCCACCCCCCCAACGCCTGCAGGGACTCCAAGGAGCAGCAAAGAAGCTGCAATGAATCGTGTAATTGTGGTCACTCCTGGAGGGTCGATGCTTAATTTGAATTTCTCAGAACTGGGCCGGGGCAGCGAAAAGACTTCTGTTGTACAATCTGTTACCGAAGCTGAATGATATGCACTAGCTAACCCATTCTTCCACCTGCAATGACCAGAAAATGGACCTACGATGGAAAAAGGAGCTGTGGTACCACAGCGATTAAAGCACTCAGCTGCTAAGCAAAACACTGCCCGTTTGGAAACCTCCAGCCTCTTCCTGGGAGAAAGACGAGGCAGTCTGTTTCCATGAAGATTGATAGCCCTGGAAACCCTGTGGTGCAGTTCCACTCTGTCCTCTAGGGGCGCTGTGGGTCAGAATGGACTCCAGGGCAGTGGGTGTGGTTTGGGCTTTGCTTCTGTGAAGATTGACAGCCTTGGAGACCCTGCGGTGCAGTTCCACTCCATCCTCTAGGGGCGCTGTGAGAATTGACTGGATGAATGTAACAGCAACCCAACAACTGGGAATATTTAGAGATTAAAATACACAGACCCCATCACTCCACCATTAAAATTGGCATGTCATTGAGATTTTTGGTCTGAATTCTTTGAAAGTCTGAACTTCCAGAATCCTTTCAGCAGATCATGCACCGTATTAGCTCAGATTGCTCAAGGACACAGCAGTATATAAACACGTCCCCCACGCACTGAGGGTGCGGCATTCGTTTTTTCCGCATTGCCCCTTCAGCTGAAATTCTTTCATGAATATTAGCTTAGAGGGATGTGGGTCACGCCCCGTCCCCTTTTTTTTTTCTTCCCCTAGCTGTGGTAAGTATATACATAACAAAACACTCACTGTTGACCTGTATTTAACATTTGGTGACATCATTAACTTCATCATGCACTGTCAGTCCCTAACAACATCAACAACTGACAACCTTTAGGGAAGTAGTTTGCCAGGTCTTTTTTCCTGAGAAGCAGCTGGCTGGGTTTGAACCACCAACTTTTCAGTGAGCAGCCAAGAGACAAACCATTGTGTCACCCAGGCTTATTAGAAATCTCCTTAACGGGACGGACACAGGGAAGAGGTGACTGTCGGGAGGAAGTGGGAGGGGAGCTGTTGCATTGTGGTAAATTGTGGTCAATGTCATGAGACAAAGTGTATGTGAACTGCTGTAGGGAAAGTAAATTTGCTCTGTAAATTTTCGCCCCAATCACAATTAAAGAAAAAAAAAACAACCTCCTTCATGCTGTTAGGCTACTGGTATTTTTAGAACTGCGCCACGGATCTTGAGGTGGGGGTGGGAGGAGAGTCTACCTGTAATTGAATTTGGAGTCCCTTGGGTGGTGCCCCTGGTGGACTTGAACATGCAACCTTTCAGTTAGCAGGCACGCATTTCATGCATCACCCAGGGACTCCATGGTCTGATCTACCCAAGCAGTAAACTCTGCGCACGTTCATTCTGGCCAAGGAAGCGTGCCTGTCGGGCCTGGCCACGAGGAAAGGTGTGCCCCCGCGTAGCTTGCACTAAGAGAGTAGCAGAGAGCTCAGACCAGGCGCATGTGGACGTGGAGAGGCGCCCGGGCTGTTCTCGCATCCAAGGTCAAGGTGTGCAGGCGCGCATGCTGCTTCCAGGGCGCCAAGCCTCTCCTACCTGAACAGCGCGTCTATCACCCTCTGCGACGGCAGCCTCCACTGCGTGCGCGGCCAGGGGTCCCCGGAGGCGCTGCAGTCCAGGCGCAGGGTCCCCCCGTAGCGCACGTCGGTGGTCCGCGGGGACGTGCCGGTGATGCGCGCGTTGGCCGCTGCGCGCTGCACCGTGAGCTGGACGGTCCTCCGCGCCGAGCCCACCAGGTTGGCAGCCACACACTCGTAGCGCCCGCTGTCCTTGGGCGCCAGGTGGCGGATGTAGAGGGTCCCATTGGGGAAGACAAAGAGGTTCCCGCGCACGAACTGCGAAGGGCGCACCTGGGTACCGTCACCCAGCACCCAGCGCAGGCTGGGCAGAGGCGCGGCCTTGGCCGTGCAGTGGATGTGGATACTGAGGCCGGGGGGCAGTGATATGTTCTCCTGCTTCTCCTGGTGGATGACCGGGGGCAGGGCCGCCACGTGCAAACGGATGGCCAGACTGTCGGCGCCCGCTGCGTTGCTGGCCACGCATTGGTACACGCCTCTGTCCAAGAAGGTGGCCTCTTTGATGGACAGGGTGCGGTTCTCATGCAACGTGATCCGGCCTTCCACGGGGGACACGGTGTGCCACACCCTCCTGTCCGGGAAGATCCAGGAGATCTGCGGGGCAGGGGTGCCCTTGGCCAAACACTCCATGGCGATGGTGTCTCCGAGGTAGACGGTGACATCCTGGTAGTGGGAGGCCAGCGTCTGAGGTTGCTGCGTGCTCACCGACAGCAGGACCGGCATGGTCTCTGCGCCGTGCAAATTCCTGGCCGTGCACAGGTACTGGCCGTGATCCTGCAGCTGGACCTTACGGATGACCAAGGTGCCGTTTTTCAGAACTTCCAACCGCTGTGTCCGGGTGTTTGGTGTCATGAGAGCCCCTAGGGGTAAGAAATACGTAAAATCAGATTGCACATAAAGGAAGCTTTTGGATGGTTATCAAATGAGTATGACCAATGGCCTCATTAAGGAGAGGGCACGATGGCTGCTGAGTGGCAGTTCAAACCCACTGTGCAGCTATGGGGGAGAAAGACCTGGTTAACTGTTTGGTTAAAGATTGACAGCCTTAGAAACCCTGTGGGGGCAGTTCCACTCTGTCCTCTAGGGGCGCTGTG